GTAGGACTGCGGCCCTCAAGGACCAGGATTGCCCACCTCTGCTCTAGTTTATGTTACCCATTAGACTGAAAATATTCGTGCTCCAGCTTAAATAGGATGAAAAATTATTATTCTGTAAAATTTAATCACACTCTGGTTAATTTCATATTGGTCTTAGTACAAATTAGGTAAAATGAAGAGCATTAGGTACAATCCATAAATAATTACAAAACCAAGCATTGTAGTTGAGTTAGGTTTTTTCTTTATGTCAGAAGAAAAAGTTTTGCTCAACAAAGAAAAATGAATTGGTCTATAACGATAATGACACATTTTTATTAGATGAGTATATTTGTGTCTGTTGATAATAATAACTGTCTATTAGAAGTTTGAGTTAATTTGTTGATGTGGTCATTGTAGTTAAAACTAAATAGTATGATACATGGTAAGTCAGGTCAATACCAGTTTTGTAACAATAACAGATTCYCAGGACTAAAACTTTGGTTGAAGTCTGTTACAAAAACATTTTTTATGATGTCATCAACTTCTTATCGGTTTCACCTAGCAAATAAAATGTTCACAATAGTTCCATTTAATTTTTTGATATTGCTACTGCTCATGATTATATCGTACTTTAATAATTATATTATTCTTGTATTCTTTTCTTTTAGGTGTTGAGGTGTTTGTGAAATACAAAACAGATCTACTTCTGAACGTCAACACATCTGGAATTGACCCAAATTCCGATTTTTCATGGAAATTTAATGAAACTACAAATGTGGTAAAAGTTAATATGGGACAAAATCCAAATCTAAATGATTATGCTGCAAGGGCTGAGTTCTTTCAACATAACTACTCTGTGCTGATAAAGAATATGCAGCATGATGACAGTGGATCTTACAAAGCAAAAGTGAGCGGAAACAAGGATGTCACAAAAACTGAATACCAAGTCAGAGTTGTAGGTAAGTTTCTGTTGATGAGTGACTGATTTTATTATTTCTTAATGTTGATAGCTCCATGTTTCACAGCTGTTTACATCTTTTTTCCTCAGATCCAGTCTCTCCAGTAAAGCTGACCATAAACCCTGATGTGTCAGATGTTTGTAACGTCACAGTGACCTGCAGCACACTGGATTCTCTCATTAGTAAAACTTTTCATTGTAACAACATAACCTGCTCTCTGGTGTCAAACCCAGACAAAACAGCTCCATCTTCTACACTCAGCGTCTACGTACAGCAAGACTACATCATCTGTAACCATAGCAACCAAGTGAGCTCAGAACAGAAAAAAATAGATTTTAGAGCTCAATGTCAGAAAAAAACAGGTAAGATTAAAATATATAAAGATGACTTTCAGTACTTTTAAAATACATTTAGACAATTCACAGCTCATGAGAGGTGTTGGTGCTCAGATTATGTGCAGTAGTTTCAGCATYTGACAAACCTCCTGAGTCTGAGTTGGGTTGAAGAGACACAAAACTCACTGGGGCTGGACCATATTAGAAAATCTTGTGATGGGGATAATATTTATAAATACTGCGATGAGGATATCATGTGTGATATGTCTTTTTTTCTTCCCTCCCTTTCTAATCTGTACTTCCCATATGTGACCTTTAGCATTTTTGGTAATGTCATTTGTGTGTGGTGTGAACTTTTGCTGCTGTGAGACTCTGCCCTRCTGTTTAAATRTTGCATTAGCRTGAAAAATAMAACTTCAYAACTCTTCAAATACATTAGTCAACAATTATTGCATTCCAAGCAGTCCTTWATGATATGTATATTGYGCACACTGATATTGCGATAACAATATTGTTGCAATATATTGTGCAGCCCCAGTACTCACTTTCATGAGTATTAAATCATAACTCTAAATATATAGACCAGGTATAAACACATGACAAAAAGCTGCCAAAAAGTTCTGACCAGTCTGAGTGTGGAAGCAGAAGTTCTGTCTGATACTGAGGAGTTGAAAATAGACCATTTGGGTCTGTGTGTGTTTCTCTGAGATGATGTCACACTCAGCTGGATATCTGAGGAGTTCGAACAAGAACCCAAACACAAACACAAAAATAAAACGCAGGAAATGACAATTAAAAACAAACTAACTGACAGTTATTATAAAGCAAATAATCAAAAGTAAACCAAAGATCCAAAATTTTGGTTTGATGAACAGAGTCTGAGAGAAACACACTGACCCAACACAGGAAACAAATAAAACTCTGTACAAAAACAACACAAACATATTGTGATAGGTTTGATGCAGACAGTTTTATTATTTATCCTCCTGTTAGCTTAGCTATTGTTGTTTTAAAGACTGAATGTGTCATAAAATATGTCTTTTTGTTTGTTTTTACAGATAACAATGCAGCCACCATATCAGTCAGTGTACTTACTATATTTGTGGCTCTTATTATTGGCTCCATTGTTCTGTACATATACTGTAAGTATACCCTAATTGTTTCACACCATTTGTGATTCTTTACTGGGAAGCTTAGATATTTGTGTTAGTTTCTGCTTAAAAACAAAACAACATAAAGCACAAAAATCAATTTGAATGTAAAAAGGGAGGTTTTTCTTTTATAAATGTTGTTACCTGTTGATTTTACTGCGCAGTAAAGTTTAAATGAAGTTCTCAGAACTTTCCTTTGTCATGATTCTTGATCATTTTAAGTTTCATGCAGATCARTGCGGAAACCTTTAAAGCTCAGCTGATCAGGGATCATTTTGCTTCAGCTTCTTTGTTGGAATCTTTGATCAACATTTTCCTTACATTAAAGAAAGGAGGATGTTGACATTCAGCTTTTTTATGAGAAGTGTTGCAAACTTTATATATAAAAAGGCAGATAAACAAAACCTTGAAATGGAGTTTATTATAAAGTGCCTTATAAAGGACTAGGACTAAAACTCTGTAGAACAAGTTTGTTCATGACATACAGAAAAGAGGAACCCCTTTTTACATTAGGCAACAGATGATCTGTTGATAAATGTAAACTGGTTTTTTGTTAATAAACTAAAATTAAAAAGTAAAAAAGTTTGTCTTAAACTCTTCAAACAATACATTCGATATTTTTTATGACTGACCTACAGGTAAAAGAAAACGCGGCAAAAATACAATTCCTGAGGTAAGCAGCCATTTGTTTCATTAAAAGGAAAACTCTCCCTGTTTACAGATCAAAGTGAAGAGAAACGTCAGAAATCTTAAATTGACTGCAGAAAGTGTTTTTGCTTTGCTGTAGATCTTTTTAAAGCACGTTCCAGCACAACTATACACTGGTGACTTTGCAGTTTTTCTAAGTAATGACACCTTCCTAATAWTTTTTTGTGTTTCCTGATGAACTTAAAAAAATAGAAAAGACTTAGCTGATTATTTAAGGAAGGTGACAATAACCTTTACCTGCTTTGATTTAATTTATTTATTTAACAGGAAAAGATTAAAAATCAAGCCTGACTCAGCATAATTGCTGTTTTACAGCAGTTTCCTGTTCTGCAGCACATAAAACATTCAGAATCACAGCATCACAACCACATCATTATTATTACACCATAGACACAAAGACAAACAAGCATACCAAATTTCAAAAAGGCAGCCTTTGCAAAATAGGACGTCTAAATATGAGCACAACAAAAAGTGTCCAGCAGATGGCAGACAAGATTCTTCTTAAAGG